GAGACGAGTTGCTGCTTCTGACAAAGAGTGGGGAGGGCCAACATGGAGAGACCCCATCTCTACGAAACATACAAAAAATTAGCCTGACATGATGGCGCACTCCTGTAGTCCCAGCTACTTGGGAGGCTGAGGCAGGAGAATCGCTTAAACCCAGGAGGTGGAGGCTGCAATGAGCAGAGATTGCACCAGTGCACTCCAGACTGGGTGACGAAGCAAGACTCCATCTCGAAAGAAAAGAAAAGAAAGAGAGGAAGAAGGAGGGGGGGAGAGAGGAAGAGAGGAAGGGAGGGAGGGAGGCAGGGAAGGGAGGAAGAGAGGAAGGGAGGGAGGGAGGGAGGAAGGAAGAAAGAGAGGAAGGGAGAGAGGGAGGGAGGGAGGGAGGAAGGAAGGAAGGAAGGAAGGAAGGAAGGAAGGAAGGAAAATGGGAAGGAGTGAGAGAAAGGAGGTGGCTGTGTCTGGACCTGAGAGATAAAGGGGCAAAAGATCCTATGCCGAGAGGGGCTGGCCGTTGACCCCGGAGGGTCCTTCACACCTCTCCTCAAAAATGCTAAGGCTGAAGCAAGAGAGGTCAGCCCCCTCGCCTGCCCTTCCCTACCGTAGCAAGCACCAGGACATCACTCCCTCTCAGCTCCGTTTATCAAAAGGAATGTGTGGCACACATGAGCACTGTGGTGTGTGAAAAAATTGCTCCTTCTGGCTCCTAGAGCATCCTCCATCACTTTCCCGAGGAGGGGAGCCTGATGCTTGCCTGACTGACAGATGGATATCAAATGGCGGGGGTCACGCCAAGAATAAAAGCAGAGGGAATACAAAGGGCAGTCAGGAAGGGAGTGTGCTGATTAACGGAATTTAGAGTCTAGGGAGGGACAATGTGTTCAGACCTTGGTCCTGGTGCTCAGAAGGGACAGTTTTAAATGAAAACCAAGGAGTCACATCTGTATCTAGACCTCGGCTGGTGTGCTGAAACTGTAGCAGCCTCTGCTGCTGTGTGAGGAAGTTACAGTAGCAAGGCCAGGGTCCCAGGGCCCTTGGGTGCAGGCAGTGCCAGTGCCCACAGGCAAACTCCCAGGATCCTTCCCCAGACAGAGCCCAGGCCAGTTCGGGTGCAGCATGGAAGGAGACCAGGTCGCAGAGGCATTCCCTAACACCACATTTTTAGAGTCCCTGGAGCTAAGAAAGCAGCCTCTGACTTGCTTCCTTGAATCAAGACAAGGAAGAAGGCATTGGGCGGCAGAAACTCCTGTTCCACAGGCTGGATAGAGGTGGGAAGGGAGCTGCTGCCACCACGGCCTTCAACATCCTGCTGGAGACTCTCCCACTCAGCGGGCGAGCTGGGAGCTGGCCGCGCACAGCCCGCCTGCCCAAAATGTACTCAGACTTTCTAGTAACCGTTTACTCACCCACCCCACAGGGTGTCACTATTCATGTTAAGTGAATGCGCACACGTGGATTTCCCTTACCGAACTGCCTCTCCAAATGAATGTTACTACAAAACAAGGCACCAGGACAGGAGATAGGGCTTGCTTGAATCTTTCAGGGGATTAAAAGGGTATCTATCGGAAGCCTTGCTAGGCATGAGCCTGAGCAGGCCCTTTACACAGGCTAAGGCAGACAGGAGGTGGCCAGCTTTCGAATCAGGAGGTTCAAGTTCACGGAAACAACCACCGCCCACTATAGCACTTAGGCACCTTGGGTGGGGGCGGGGCACAAAGATGAAGATAAGTCCTTCCCTGCCCTCAAGGACCTGGACAAAAAGAAGGTAAAGCAGGACCGGTACCCCTGAAGCCCAGCACGGCATCGCTGGTAAGTACAAAATGCCACAGGCGTTAAAAGGTCACATCTGGTACAGAGAAATCGGGAAAACATCATTCTCGATTCTCGGTAGATCTGCAAGGCAGGGAAGTGATTGACAAAGTCCAATGTGCCATTTATTTGATGACTTTGTTTCAAGGTCAAACAACAAGCCTGAGATCCTGTTTCATCTGCCAAGTCTGGACTGATGTCTCCTTCCCACTCTCAGTTCCTTAGAAAAGCAGGTCTCGGTAAGAGCCACGTACTATTATTATCCTTAGGAGGAACGCCAAGAACAGAGCTCCGAGATCCCCTGCCCCCAGCCCTGAGCCGAGCCCAAGCATGCACAGGGAAGAGGCTCCAGCCAAGTGTCTGTCCCAGCCAATCCCCAGAGCTCTGGTGGGAATGTATCTAATTGGATGGCACTAGCTTTGAGTGGGCCCAGAGAGTATCTGTCACACCGCATTTGTTAGACCAGCTCACTGCACAGCCCTGCCTCTGGCTTAAACAGGGACGAGCCCAGGGGTGTCTGAAGGTGCAAGAACATTACCTTAGAGATGGAGCTGCCCTCTCAAAGTCCTAATTTTCTTTCAAATAGCCCCAGTCTGCCCTCCCTCCAATTCTGTCGGTGGGACTTCATTGTTGCTGTCAATATCTGGACTCGCTGTAGCTTCTGTGTGTCCCACACCGGACTGACTGCACTGCCTGTGTTCCAGATGTCTGTGTAGATGCTGGCTTCTTACAAGGGCCCTGGACCCTGGGCACAGAGGCCAGCAGGTTGCACAGATAAAGTGCCCCTAGAGATTGCTTGGTTAAATACTACCGTTGCTCCCCTTCCTTTTCGCCAGGCATCCATGAGACCTTTCTGAAATCAGAAAATTTGTGAAAAAGTGTGACAAGAGTGCTTTGTAAATTCCAAGTAAGATATTTTAGAGCTGCGGAGTGGTCCCGACCAAGGTAGCAGAAACAGGTTTCCTGAGAGAGGGCTCTGAGAACTGGGCTTTCAGTCCAGCACCACAAGGAATGATTTGAGGATCTTTGGCTCAGGCAGTGCCCAGATGTGTGAGGAGCCCAGAGGTGATTTTATTCTCCCCCTGCCCTTGCAGCCCCAGTTCGGCCTTCCTCCCCCAGCCCCTTCCTCCCTCACTACCTTCCTTGAGCCTCAGGTTCAGCAGAATGGCCTGAGGGACTCGAAGCATTGGGAAAACTGCCCTGTAAGGCCTGGCCCTTTATCTTGGGATGCGTTTAAAAGGAAAATATGAAAAGCACACACAAGATGAACAGATGACTGCATTTGGAAAGGTTCTGTGATGGAAATCTAAAACCCAGAACCGAAAGAGAACCTCACCTGTAACCACAAAGAGATTCGGTCTGACTCAGGGGCTTGGAAACTGCTACCCAAAACCCCCTGGCTGGTGGGCCAGGAAACTTCTACCCCTCCCACCAGGCTGGGGGGCCCTCAATTGTCTTCCTCAGACCTACTCTGGGGGAGGAGGGTAGAAAAGTCAAACATAGGAAAGAGAGTTCCCCCTTGCCCCACACACCCACTTCAGGCTAATGGCTATTTATTTCCAGTCTTCAAGACGGGCCTGCCAATCTAGGCAAAACAAAAGGGCCTCCTTAGCCTCCCAAGCGTGTCTGAAGTTCTGTTTCCCTGCCTGAGCTTTTGAGCTTGGTTCTATCTGATCACTCTGCCTCCATGGCACCCACCCTGACTCCCTGGCTTTCTGTTTTTTTCTTTTTCAAATAAATGTCCCTGAAACAGTTCTTCCCTCCTCCCTCTCTCCCTCCCTCCCTCACTGCCTTCCTTCCTTCTTTCTTTCCTTTCCTTCTTTCTATTTTTTTTTTTTTTTTTTTGAGATGGAGTTTTGCTTTGTTGCCCAGGCTGGAGTGTAATGGCACGATCTTGGCTCACCTCAACCTCCACCTCCCAGGTTCAAGCAATTCTCCTGCCTCAGCCTCCCAAGTAGCTGGGATTACAGGTATGTGCCACCATGCCCAGCTAAATTTTGTATTTTTAGTAGAGACAGGGTTTCTCCATGTTGGTCAGGCTGGTCTTGAACTCCCAACCTCAGGTGATCTGCCAGCCTTGGCCTCTCAAAGTGCTGGGATTACAGGCGTAAGCTGTACCCCTGAGTCCTCCTAGACCCAAGCCAAACCAAGCCATGGTTCAGACACACAATACATCATAAGAAAAAGGCTTTGGGGTTAGACAGACCCAAGTCACTGACTCAGGCTGAGACATTTCCTCATCAGTGAACAGGGTGAGGATTCCCAACTGGGAGCTGTGGTAAGGTGTGAGCAAGGTAACGTCTGAATGTTTGGCACACGATGGGCATGCCCTTCATGTATGTTGCACGGATCCATCACACTCCCTTTTGACTTCCCAGGACTGGCCATCCTATACAACTTCCCTAGCCCCACGGTCTTCCCTTAAGAACACACTCCTTCCTCCCCCCCGTTTAATTTCATTGGAACTCTCCTCCAAAACCCCAAACCAGCTCACTGCCTGGGGGCAGTAGAAAGACAGCAGGGAAAGCCGGAGGGAGGGCTGCGGTGAAGAGTACAGTGGGGTCACTCTGGTCCCTCTTTGTGGTCCTTGTGCATTTTGGATCCACCGGACAAGACCTCTAAGCAAGATCCCAGCAATAGCACCCCTGAGCTAGCCTCCCTTTGGGGGAAATCTCTTCCTAAATGGTCTGAATGTTAACTCTGAATCAACTGGTCAATCATCAACCCAAGGACAAAAGTATCATTGGACATGGCCATCCCCACCAGACTACCCTTCTGCAGAAGCCCCGCACAGCAATGCTTCTACTGCCCCAGGAATGGCTGGGAAGGAAAGTTCTGGTGTCAATCAACTGCACAAATCACTTCCTCCTCCTTTGCTGCGGTGAGTGGGAAAGTTCAGAGCCAGTAGGGTTAATTCATCACAATGGCTAATGCTGGCTGACCCCTCATCTGTCCCAGACGCTAGGAAGGCCCTCTACACATCCTCTCATCCCAGTGAATTCTTTACCGCAATCTTAGGAGGTAAGGGCATTTGCTGCCCCATTTTACAGATGAAGAAACTGAGGCTTACTGGCATTAGGGGACTTTGCCACAGTCCCACAGCTCTTATAAGTAGCATTGGGATGCAAAACCAAGTCTGTCCCACCCCCAGCAGAAGCCACCAGGCTCTAGAGAGTCAGAGGGAAGCCAGGACTTACCTGGTAGGAAAGGCCATCCTTTCGGGGGCTGAGGCCGATCTCCTCCATGGGGGGGCTGTTCATCATCACCTCAGTCATCTCAGCCGATCTCAGATAGTCAGGGCTGCCGAGAAACCCAGACCAAAAGTCAACAAACACACTCACTTTCACATTCCTACTCTTCATGCATTTGCTGCTGTGGGATCAGGGGACTGTCTGGAGACAGGATGAGAGGTGTTCAAAACAGAACTTGCAGAAAAACAAGCTCACACCCTGAGGAAGCGCCTTGCAAGCCCACAGCCCCAGGACTCAGCCCCAGCGGATAAAGCCCATTGTCTGCAGACCTCTCCGGCAAACCTCCTCTTCCCTCCTCCCCTATACTCTAGTCCCCACTGGGACAGAAGGACCCTGAATGTTCTTTTAAATGACAGAACTAGAGAAACCAAAACAGTAGGTAGCTGAGTCCATCTGTCTATATTAAAACCAATTCAACCACATCTCCCTTCACCTCTCCAACCAAGAATAAAAATAATCCTCACATAAATTTTCCAAAGCAAAACTATATGTTATTATATAACATATAATAACAACAACAGGTCAACTGGAGGGAAACAAAGTCCAATCATATGGCCTTCCTAAATATCTGTCTCTCTGGTGCTCTTTTTGGCAAAATGTTCCACTTAAAGCCCCAAGGGGTCAGCTTTTCTGCAAGTTTCACATCTGCCATCCAACCCTTTCTCTAGCCCCAGCCATAGCAGCTGCTTGCTCACAGCTTGAAAAACATCCCCTGGATTAAAAGCCTTAAGGCTACCAGACTCTGATTGCAAAGGAAATTTCCAGAGGGGCCAAGCTGGCCCACCAATGGCTGCCATGTGAAAGTGCTTTGTACTCTCTAAGCAGGATACAAATGTTCCATTATCCTTGCACAAGCCCTGGGCACATAAGGGATCCCGTGCACATAACGCTGAACATACCCAGCAAATCCAGGTACCCGCGACACAGCACCCAATGCTTTCACATTCGAGCCTGTGCACATGGTTTAAAACAAAAATGTGGGGAAGGCTTTTGAGGTACGCTATCTAAGGAAACAGGGGTACCAGATTCCTCTTTATTGTAAGGTTACTACATAGACAAGAAATGACGCTGGATTTAGAAACAGAAGCAATAGATTCTAGGCTCTGCCCCTCAAGAGCTGTGTGATCTTGAACAAGTCCTGTAACTTCTCTGAGCCACAAGTGTCCTGTTTGTTACTCTGATCCTAATAGTGCATACCTCATAGTTAGGTTAAGGACTAATGTCTCCACAAAAGCATTGCAAGCTACAAAGTGCTAATTGATGAAATCATCTTAAACCTTAAATTTCTCATAATATGCCTAATATGCCCAAACACCCACCTTGGCACATTTTGAGCAGCCAAAGGCACAAAGCCTCCAACAGCCTTCAAATCCTCACCTGGAATAAGGCACCAAGCTGCTCATACACTATGGCAGAGGCAAGGGAGGGGCGCCCACAAGAAGGGCACACAAGCCTCCGGGTGGGGGAACTTGAACTGCTGAGAGAGGGAAGTTCAGTCCCCTCTCTAAACACTGCTAGGTTGGGATGGGGGCAGGGAGACTAAGAGAAGATGGGGCTCTTTGGGGCAAGTTTAGGTTCCGGAGCCGGGCCCTGCAAAGGCAGTTTCCTCCTGGGTCCTGGAAAGGCTGCTATCGACCCCCAAAGAAAGGAGCCAGAAGGGCGCCTACAGGGCGAAGAGCCTGACTTAGGGGCGCTCTATCCTCGCTCGGGGCTGTGGTCCGGCCCGAAAAGTTGAAGCTAGAAGCATGAACTTTCCGCTTCCTGGGCCAGGCCGGACCGCGCCGAGGTTTGAGCCTGCTTTCCCTTTGCTCAGCGCCAGCCAGCGACTCGGAGCCGAGCTCCCCACGTCCGCACCTGAGAGCGCGCCCCGGGGCCACTAGCGCTCGGCCCCGGCCGCTTCTCTTTTAACCCAGCGCAGGAAGAAAGAAACCGCCGGCGAGGAAGTCCCAGCAGCCAGGGGCCTGCCTGCCTCTCTCTGCATCCTTCCCGGCTCCGATTCCCAGTCCGTGGCAAACCTCTGACGCCCCGAGCCCGGCTGGGGTTCCTTCCAGCTCTGCACGGCGAAGGCGGCACCTCCCGGCCCCGGCCCTCACCAAAGTGCATCGGTTTTTAGGGGCTACGGAGAAGGCAGGGGTCGAGAGGCTGCAGCCTGTGCCCTGTTGCTTGTGGCTTTAGCGGGGTTACGTTTGGGGAGAGCGTTTCCCGTCCCCCAACCCCCGGAGCTCTGCAAACCCCGCGGCTGCAGCAGCTCTGCCCCGCTGCAACCGGCCTCGACGCCGAGACTTGCATGCAAACAAAAAGAAAAAGAGGAGGGGCCCGGGAAGAGCAGGAGCCCCCCTGCGCCAGGCGGCGCGCGCCTCCTGCAGCCCTCCGCAGAGGGGGTTTCACTGAGGGGATTCACACGTGACCCCTGGCTCCCCCACCAACCAATACAAACCCTCCGGCCGTCACTTAGGTGCGGGCTCCGAGTTCACGTCCTTTGTCTGGCGGTTCTCAGCAGCCCCCTCCCCCACCCGCACCTTTGCAACCTTGACGTTGACTCCTGCACTGGCTCGGGCGGCGGGTTAGCTGCCCTCGCACCCGGAGCCGGCACGAAGCAGGCGCCCGGGCCAGCAGCCACAGCCGCGAGACGGACGCCCGCAGCAGGCGCAGGGTACTCACCAGTGAATGGGGAAATATATAGACATGAAGTCCTAGGGGAGGCTGACCCACGCCCCTGTGATTTAAAAGCTGTCCCTGCGTCCTGAGCGAGGATGACACGGGCGCAGACGGGCACGGCAGGCGGCCGAGTGCGGGCACCGGGCGTTCGCCGTCCGCCTTCCCAGGACAGCCCCACGGCCAGCGGCGTCGGCGAGGCGGACACAACTCCCAGCTCTCCACTGAGCTCTCGGCCCCACAAAGAGCCCGGGAAGCAGTATTTATAGGGGCGGGGGCGGAGCTCGGCCCCGAGAGGCCCCGCCCTCCCTCGCCCACTCCTGGAATAACGTCACCAAAATCATGAATGGCTTCAGCGCTCGCAGCTCCGGCGGGTGGCGGCTCGGGGGCGCGCTCTACTGTGCTCCCTGGGCCGTGGTTCGCTGCGGCTGCGAGCCCGGCCCCCTCCCGCCACTCTCCCACGCGCACACGCGCTCACTCGCACCCTGCCGCGACTCAGAGTCCGCACCGCCGCCCGCTCACAGCCCCCTCCGCGTTCACCCCGGACTCCAGCGCGGCGGGGGTGGACGCGGGGTGGACGCGGGGTGGGCGCGAGGCGGGCGCGGGGGTCGCTCCGGACGTGACCGCTCAGCTGCTGCGCTGCGCGGAGGGAGGGCGCCCGCCACTCCTCCACCCCGGCCGCCGGGCGCCAGCGCCCTCCTTCCCACCCACTGGCTGTCCCCAGCCCGCACCTCGGGACCCCTCTGAAGCGTTTGTTCCCCGGACTAGGCCTCTCCCTGGAATCCTCGCCTGCAGCCTCGCGATCAGCGCGGGTAAACAAGAGCATAAAGAAGACGCGGTGGGAAGTGGGAGAGACGCGGAGCCGGGGGACCGAGTGCCCACGGGGCGCGTTGGTTTGCGAAGGGCTGGTCTGCAACCCTGAGATCCGTGGAAGGTTTTATTTGTGGGAACAAGGATGTGGTGTCGTTCTAGGTAGGGTTTTTCCATTGGAGACACGCACACATTCGGCAGCGGGGGCAGGGGGTGCGGGCAGGCAGCGTCCACGCCGCCCCCCATCCTTAACTCCCACGTCTTCTCTGAGGACTCGCTCATGAAAGCAGAAACAAAGAGCTTCAGCCGAACGCCTCCCACACTGCCCAGGAATTGCAGCTCCAGGGGTCTGTCCAGGCAAAGCCGCGCAGTCCCCCAGAGCCCGATGAGGGGAGTCTCACTCCGGACCCAGCGCTGCCTCTCTGTGGCCTATGCTTCAATTACGCCTGTAAAATGGCTTTAGAACCATGACCTACGTGTGTGTATAGAGGCTGGGGAAAGGGGGCGCGGGGCGATCAAAAACTAAGCAAAATTAAATCGGCTTTAAGTTAATCAACTCTTTAAAAGAAAGGCAGCGAGCGTATTGAATCCGTATATATGTGCTTGAAAGTGGAAACTTAACAGCTTATCTCACTCAAAAGGATGACAGAATTAATGGTGAGGGTTCAACGGGTAGGACCCTGAAGGAAGCCAGGAGAGAAGACCCTCATAATTTTCATCAGCCCCCGCAAAACCAACAAAACAAAAATAATAAGAATTGACAAGAATATTTTAAAATAACTTGGCTATTTTCAATCACTTATATGCCTATATGTACAATCTGAGTAAAAATAGTGGGCTTCCTATGAAAACGCATCTTCATGACAAGCCCCTGGCTGCACCCTCCAACCAGAGAAATTCCCCCGCCTCCCAAGCTAAACCCATTCTCTTCCTCTGGGAATGGTGTCTGATGGAGGTGCTAAACTGGAGATGTTGCAGGAGGATGGGGTTGTTGTTGGGGTGGGGTTATTGTTGGTGTCCTGCACAGAGGGTGGGGAAGCTTCTTAGTGTCACTGGCCAGGTGTGACACAATGTCATCTAGGCAGCCACAGGAGAAGCCAATGCTTGGAGAGTTGGTTTCCAGGCTGGGGCTTCCTGGCACTCAGGAAAATTCTGAGCTGGACCCTAGGTGGGAAGGATGAAGCCTTCTGCCATTCCTCCTCAGTAGCAATCTCTGGTGAGGCTGGGATCAAAGAGTGTCTCGACATTTTTACACACAACAGACACACTTTACATGTTTGTGATTATTGCCATGTGAAGCTTTCAAAACTCAGAAAGCTATTTCCTCCCTCTCCCCATTCCCCCAAATATCTAAATGCAAAAATGGCCTCATTTTGGAGAAGAGGGTGGGGAGTAAGTCCTCCATCAGCTGTCACCTGGCCTCTGGAAAAATCCTCTACATTGGAGTGCATTGAGGGAATTACCTGATGCCTACTCTTTGGGAAACTTATGAATGCCCATTTTAGCTAAAGTTCACCTCTGTAGGTAAGTTAAAGTAGAAAATGAGCCTTGGGGTTGTGATCCCAAGTCTACATTTCTCATTTTTTCTTTTCTTTTTTTTGAGACGGAGTCTCATTCTGCCGCCCAGGCTGGAGTGCAATGGTGCAATCTTGGCTCACTGCAGCCTCCACCTCCTGGGTTCAAGTGATTCTCCTGCCTCAGCCTCCCAAGTAGCTGGGATTACAGGCACATGCCAATGTGCCTGGCTAATTTTTGTATTTTTAGTAGAGACGGGGTTTCACCATTTTGGCCAGGCTGTTCTTGAACTCCTGACCCTGTGATCCACCTGCCTCTGCCTCCCAAAGTGCTGGGATTACAGGTGTGAGCCATTGCATCTGGCCTCCAAGTCTACATTTTCTATTTCTCCTCTGGAATCACACATCCATTCATTTGAAAATAGGGGAGGCATGTTGCTAAGCTTTGATGAAACCATAATTAGCATGCTGTTTCTCAGTTATACTAGCCTATATGATGCCCTTGCAGGTTTTTTGTTTGTTTGTTTTTTGTTTTTAAGCATTTTATTGTCTCGGCTTTCAAAAGAATGTGATAAGGGTAACATAACACAACTTAAGGTCCTCAGTTCACAGATATGCAAAGTGAGACCTAAATAAATTAGGAGACTTGCCAAAGATCACACAGCCAGAAAGTGGTTGAGCTGAGCCTGGAACTCAGAGGTTGTAGGCATACTCAGCTTCCCACTCTGTTAACGTAGCTCCAGCTGACTGCATTTCCTTCATATCTCTAAAGATACAGAGTATTTCAACATGCACACTGACCATTTCTTCCCAATACCCTATGATATAGGTTTCTGTCCCTACCGCCTTTGAATAAATGAAGAAACAGAAACACAAGTGAATGAAGTTACTTAGATCCCCAGAACCTTAGAGCTGAAAGAGACCTTCCAAATCACCTCATCCCAGTCTCCTCATTTTACAGGTGAGAAGACACCCAAGGGATTAAATGGCATGTCCAAGGTCACCAGGCTATTAAGTGGCATAGATGGAACCTAATGCAGGTCTTCAGACCACTGGTCAGATGTTCTTTCCACTTTAACACTGTGTCTTGCACTGCATTTGCCAAGAAGTCCACAGCAAAGGTCAAACACAAGACCTGGACTCTGTAAACCACTGCCCTCCATCACCAACATTAATTGAGCATCTACTAGATGTGGATCAGTGAACTAATTATCCAGTCAGAGCCCTCTGCACTCCCTCCCTTCTCCCACCTTTGTCTTTGGAAACTAAAGTGTTGAATTGCAATTCTGCCTCAATAGATATCCAGGTGTAATCAGAATTGCCTGGCTTTCGGACATTATATCCATCCATTTTGCCAGCACCTTCTCTTTCCTACCTAAAATACAAATTTTATAAAAAAGAATAAAGATAATGAACTTAAGATCTTATTAGAGTTACCTCAGCTGCAAGGATGCTGTGTATGTAGGACAGGCATTCATCTAGTTAAAAAAAAAAGTCTCCATCTAAATTCATTTAGCAGCTGGTTGTGGTGGCTCATACCTGTAATCCTAGGACTTCGGGACACTGAAGCAGAAAGATTGCTTGAGCTCAGGAATTTGAGACCAGCCTGGGCAACATGATGAAAGCCTGTCTCTACAAAAAATAAAAAATTAGCCAGGCATGGCAGCACATACTTGCAGTCCCAGCTACTCAGGAGGCTGAGGTGTGAGGATCACTTGAGCCCCGGGAGGCAGAGATTGTAGTGAGCCATTATCGCACCACTGTACTCCAGCCTGCAAAGCCCTGTCTCAAAGAAAAAGATCATTAAACAATACATTCCCACTTCCTATCTCCCCCTGACTTGCAAAAAGACAGTATTGCATTTATTTTGCTTAGTGGTGGTAAAGCTGATATTCTGGTTACTAATAAGGGACTTTACAAAGTAGCTATTTGACCTTGGGGAGGAAAACAGAAGGGAAGGGGCAACACTTGCTGAGGTACACTGGTGTCTCTTACTATGCTTATGCCTTGCAACAATGTTAGACAGAGGCACTATTGCCCCCACGTCACAAAGAAACAGAAGCTCTGAGAAGTTAAGTACCATGGCTGTGGCCACAGGGCTCTCAAATGGCTGAACCAAATGTGACTCTGGGCAGGGCGTGGTGGCTTATACCTGTAATCCCAGCACTTTGGGAGGCCAAGGGGGGTGGATCACTTGAGGTCAGGAGTTCAAGACCAGCCTGGTCAATGTGGTGAAACCCCACCTCCACTAAAAATACAGAAATTAGCCAGGTGTGGCGGTGGGTGCCTGTCATCCCAACTATTCGGGAGGCTAAGAGGCAGGGGAATCCCTTGAACTCAGGAGCTGGAAGTTGCAGTGAGCTGGGATTGCACCACTACACTCCAGCGGGGGGAAAAAAAAAACCCCCCAAAAAAAAAAAAAAAAAAAAAATGTGACTCTGAGGCTTGCTGGTTCCAGAGCTGATGCTTTCCCCACCATACGACACTTACCATGCCTCTGTGGTTTTGTTTGTTTTCACAGTTACACTGTGAACTGAATGCAAAACTGCTGGTTCCAATAGCAAAGACCAAGACCACTGGTATCCATCCAGCAGGGCAGGGCTGGCAGAATAAACAACCTTCTCACCCTGGGAATCTGGGAGCTTCTTAAAGATATCAATCAAAGGCTTGGGTTTAAAAAAAAAAAAAAAGTGAGTAGGAGAAGGGAAGTTTCTAGCCAATTTTTCGGTGAAACTCATTTGGGTACGTAAGAAATCTAAAAGGCAAGAATGTGTGTGGGTTGAAGTGAGAATGAAATGAGATAATGTTATGAAAACACTTGGTAAATTGGAAAGCACTGAGCAGACGTAGGGCTTGTTTTTAAGGTGTTTGGGAGAAAGAGGGAGTTTAGCAGAGCTGATTGCATCTGCTTCAGTGTTTTACTCATTACCATCACAGACTGCCCCATTTTCCTCCTGGAGTCCCTTGATTGACATATCCAGCT